ACTATTACTAGTTGATTATATTAAAGACGTGTATTTGATTTCTGAACGACTACTTTAACATTTCACAGTTCTTTTATAATTTGGTTTACAATATCTTGTGAAATATCCTCCTAATTCCTAATAGGAGCTTAATGAAGAGCTGTGAAGTGTAAAGCTAGAGCCGTTGTAACTATTTTTGTGGGGTACCGCATTTTGCTATTTTACGTGTAGCATTTACAATTTTATCGACTAAAAATTATAAGTAGCATATATCCAAGCATGTAGCATGTAGCTCGTATCTAAGAAGACATTTTACGAGCACAAATGGGCAAGTTGATGTGTTAAGCTTATACATAAGATATTTACATCTCCTCAATCAGCCTCCAAAATGATATAGTCAGTTATCATGATTGAATCCTATTAAATTCCACTGCTGAATATATGCCTCCTAAAAGTCTGACTCAAAGAGGGATGTTTGCCATAGTTGTCATGCTTGGCATGCGGGTTTGCAATGGCATATTGAAGTGTTTGTTTTTCGCAAAGCTTTTGTACGATAAAAATCTTGTACACCTCAGTGCCCGACCAATCCCTATGCTGATGTTCAAACGAGAATCAAGACGCCAGAAATGGGAGCAACTATGAAGTATGTTTGATGTTAATTGTTGCTCGAATCTCGTGTTTGCATAGACTAGGTCTAAGTATAACTCATTAAATATATAAAAAATATAATAAAATAGAAAGCCCTTTTATTTTATTCTGTAATTGAATTTAATAATTTTTAAGAATTAACATTTACAAAGTCAGAGCCGTGATAAAACATGTTTAATCATCTCGTTAATTTTAAAAATTATCTTTTAATAATAAAGTAATTTCACAATTCTGAAGTCAGTGCTAAGAGCAAAGTGTATAAAACAATTATTTAAATATCTCGACTCTTTAGAGTTGATTCAAAAATATCATAATCTCAATGCCGTCTAAATTGTGACATTAAAAAATTCACTTCTATTTTGCCATCCTTAGGGGTGAAATTCTGTTTACAAATTTATATGGGACCGCCCCTGAAGGATAGCGTAATTAATAGAAATTTGCTGCACACACAAACAAAAAAATCCAAAAAAGCATTAGTTGAATAATAAACCCCTCCTTTTGTAAAGTCGGCTGGAAATAATGACCAGTATAATCACTAAAGAAATTTCTAAAAAATCTCTATTAAAGGCGTATTTCAACTTTTTGTGCAAACATTTATTTCTAAATCCAAAATCTGTAAATACAACAACTGTATTGAACATCCAACACGATTAATTTATAACTCCCGATGGAGTTTATATCGACACTGACATATAATTTATCTTAATTGAGTTGTGTTTTTCATATTGATTAAGTATATTTACTTACGACATTTTAATTGTGTATCTTTTATAAAAAATATTGTTTGAAATGAAATAATTAATAATAGTGCAATTAATAATTAAAAATTTGATCTAGTGTAACCGTTTTCAGTTTAATGTAAATATCGATGTGATTAATTATTTATAGCGTTACTATAGAAGCATCCGCAAAGTGTTGTTTTTTAATTTAATTCTAATGAAATTAACCTTGTAGTTCTATTCGCCTGTCCTCAAATGTCACAGCACTTAACCAAGGAATTAAGCTCTGAGAGCCTTAGACCGATTTATTTAGATACTTGATGTTCCCCGCGACTTCGCCCGCACGGAATTTATTACTATTGGATTTCATGGGTTTTTATTTTTTGCGCGTAACCCTAATTGTTTTTCTAAAAGTAAAACTAGCCTAAGTTACTCATTTCATCTCAGTCGTCAGGGGTGACAACATATCTGCATTTTGATTCTAAATTGAGGATAAATATAGATGTCTATAGGCCACAGCATCCACTTACCATCAGGTGGATTGTGTGCTCGTTTGTCACCCTGAATCTAAAAGTATATTCATATCATTTTATCAATAAGATTTGAATTGTTTTTGGTAATAAATTTACTTACAGGATTAAAATTTAAAATATAAATTTATATATTGCGTAACCTTTGTAAAAGTTATTACTTTACATTTTCTACACGAGCGAAATGATTACGTGACGTAAACTATATCCAAAAATCCTCGTTTACATAAAATTATTGCATTCAAATAATTTGACTTTATATATCAAAAATCGGATTCAAATGTGGATTTACGCGCATATAAAGATAAAAGTGTTGTATATATCGGCGCAAGAACAATAGTTCGTCAATTATAATAATTAATTACTCTGTTTAATAATTGTATTGTGTTAAAAATAGTTCATAAGCCATTTAATACTCACTCCTTGATTATTAAAATATAAAAATCTTGTAATTCATATAATTCAATACTTGACCTAAAATTCATGTACACGTGCTTGCCATGCTATAAAAACGACAGTACAGAGCATGCTAGGTCAGTCTGGCTCATAGATAATAATATGCTATATAGGATATAGATGAGCCACTGACAAATTATTAGTCGTCGAAAAGAGGGAAGTCTCTTTAGCGCTCTTATAGATGGCGTTGGGTTTATAAATTACTAAAAATTACACTAGAGGGCGCTATCAACTAGGTTCAGTATTATTTCGTACATATTTCAATAAAATTAAAAGGAAATGTATATAATTACTAACTAATTTATTTTAAATACCTCTTTATTTTGTTTTTTTTTAAATGAGCATGGTTTAAATCTATTCATTTATTCGTATAGAATTATTCTATAATATATATACCGCTGTATTTTAAAACTTCGATAGCATGATTTAGGCTTCGGTATAATTAATGAATACCAGCAGTGAAGCCATCTTATAATAAAATGTGTAAAAATATGGGGGAAAATAGTACTTTGGCTGACTATGAGATGGCGCTAGTATCAACGTAAAAGCAAGCTACTGAGGTCTTTCATACCCCTGGTCTGGCTCAAGCAGCCGAACAGTACAGACCTCTCTAAATACATTGTTACGCTGTCAGTCCAATAAACGAGGCTTTCAGTATAGTTGTGGTGTTTTCTTTTGAAGATTGAAGATGAATGATCACCATTGGAAAGCAGCCACTAGTTTTTTTATTGGGTGTAATTGGGCTTGTATAGTACCAGATCTTCCTTTGGATGTTCGGCATATTACACAATTGTCTACAAATCTTCGGACAGTAGAACTCACTTTGTCGAACCAATAAGTTTCTCTGATATTTTATAATGTTTTATCCCAGCCGGGATATTTCAGTGCGGTGTGAAAAGAGTTGATAATACTCCATTAGAAGGCCTTGGGGATAACAGTGCTAAGTTGTTGACCAAAAACATGATCGTTTACTTGTTTCTTCAAGACGTTATCCTCCAAGACGTAGTTCTCTAATGGGTTATCCTTAGTAAGGTTGTCGATTACAGGTCGCAGTTCATCATACCGTCGCTGTTCAATTTTGAGCCAGTTCAAGTCTCTTGTCATAATATTGACTGCAAACTCAGTTTGGTTCCTGCTGAAAAAGTCTGCATGTTGGAGACTCTACCTCAAAGTCGTAGTTTTGCAAGAATGCCCACCAACGATGAATCCTCGGTTGAAGGTCCTTCTTGTGCTTGGATGCTTTTAATGCATTGCAGTCTGTTATCACCGTGAATTTTCGCCCATATAAGTACTGGCGAAAGTGTATTATAGGACGTACCACTGATAACGTTTCCAACTCATATGAGTGGTAGCGGCTTTCTGCTTCAGTAGTCCTTATACTCACAAAGGCAACCGCATGTTGGCTCCCGTCAATCACCTGTACCAGTAGTGCGCCGTATCTAAGACTGCTAGCATCCGTATACAGTTGTATGGGTGCTTCTTCTTGGAATAATGTCAGTACTGGTGCGGACGTCAAGCATTCGATGATTGTGTTACGTGCTTTCTCGTGATTGTCTGTCCATGTCCATTTTGCACCTGGTTTTGTCAGTTCGTACAACGGTAGCATTATACGTTAGAAGTCAGGAATATATTTCCTGAAGTATCCTGCCAGCCCATTGAACTATCTCACCTGCTTGACAGTCTTAGGTACTGGAGCTTCCACAAGAGCCTCCACTTTAATTGGGCTTGGTCGTACTTGTCCATCGGAAACTACATTTCAGTTATGTCATGTTATATTTATGGTGATCACTCAGATCACCATAAATATAACATGACATAACAAGATGAAGATGACACAGCTGACGTCACACTTTTAAAAACAACAAGGAGCTTGGTCCCCCGTCATCAGAAGTGGGATATCAAGGGATCCCTACGCAAGCCCCTTCCTCATCAGCTCGTTTACCACCTGAGCAACTGGAACCAGCCAACTACCAGCATGAAGAGTCTGTGCTGGTCACCAATACGCCAATGGAAGCCAAATTACAATCAAGACCACATACCTACCCAGATCAAGGAATGCGTATGAATGGAATACCTCCACAATTCCTTATGCAAATGATGGAGATGATGCAGAAAATGTCAGAACGTTTATGCGCTCCACCCACTGAATCAAAAATAGATCAAAGACATTTACTTGCCATCATTTGACCCGGGTACCCACGTCGGAGTACGAGAATGGTGTCAGCATATAGACCAAGCCATGTAAGCATATAAGCTGAGTGACTTCGACATTCGCATGAAAGTCTGCAGCCTCTTGAAGGGACGTGCGAAAATGTGGATCGATGATTGGATGGTGACCACTAGTATATGGGAACAGTTGCGGAAGAACATCATCACCACATTTGAATCTGAGAATAGATACTCCTGAGATATAGTTATGTTCAGGGAACATGTTTACGATTCGTCATAGGACATTGCAGAGTTCTTATCACGGTCATGGATCCTATGGAGAAGGGTCACCAAGGACAAGTTGGGAGATGAGCACGCTGTGGAGGCAGTGATTGGATGTGTTAATGACGAGCGTTTACTCATCGAATTACTGAACGCCAGAGCAACCACTGTGCCTGAATTGATTTCAGTGGCAACATCTATACGGAAGAAGCGTTCTCATGCAAACGCAAGTTCCACAATGCCTAACAAACGTCCACGATTTGCGTACAATCAACAATCAATATCAAGCTGCCGTATATGTAAGAAGACAAACCATTCAACCAACGATTGCAGATTTAAACCTTCGGAGGCTAAACCCGAAGCTGGCAACAAGGATGATAAAACACAAACCATACCTGCCTCTACTTGTTGCAAGAAACCAGGCCATACTTATGGAACTTGCTTCAAAAGGCGACGATCGTTAACTTCAAACGTTAACTACGTAGCAAGAAATAAGCTGGCTCCTATCTCCATCAAAATAGGAGAAAATATATTGCAAGCTGTGCTCGATAGTGGAGCAGAATTCTCAATCATGCGAGAATCGGTTGCTATAGCTTTACCTGGTCAAAGGAGCTCAACTATTTAAAAGGGATTAGACAATTTCCAGCACTATCTTTAACTAAGCTTACAAGCGTATGCGTTATAGACATCATCAGTATTGAGCTAGAGTTTTGTGTTACCTGACTATGAAATGTCAACAGATATCCTAGTGGGTATGAACCTGATTCATGATACCAACCTGAATATGATAATTACACCAAACGGGACGAAGTTAGTTCGTAACACACTTGTCAATCAGGTTAGTACGTATTCTCCTATCTTCAATAATTTGGACTGTGATTAGACCAGCGAAGATGAAATCGCGCAAGTACGTGGACTCCTGAATAAATACGAGCATTTATTTATTCGTAGATATCCTAAAACTCGGGTTAACAGCGGTGAGTTGGAGATCAGACAAAAAAACCCGGATAAATTCGTCGAAAGAAGACCATATCCTCTTAGTCCAGTGGAGAAAGAGAAGATTCGTAACATAATTCAAGAGTTAATGGAACATAATATCATACGTGAAAGCAAGTGACCCTACTCAAGCTCTGTTATATAAGTCAAGAAGAAGAATGGTGATGATCGACTCTGTGTTGACTTTCGAGAACTCAACTCGAATACTCTGCACGATCATTACCCACTTCCGTTAATTTCCGACCAGTTCGACTAGCTAGCAAATGGTCATTTTTATACAAGCCTTGATATGGCAGCTGGTTTTCACCAGATTCCTATCGCTGAGACTTCTATAGAGAAGACCGCTTTGTCACTCCAGATGGGCTATATGAATACCTAACCATGCCGTTCGGTTTGAGTAATGCTTGTTCTGTTTACCAACGATGCATCTACAGAGCTCTAACGTTATTGTTGGGAACAGCTGCACAGGTCTATGTGGATGACGTTCTGAGTAAATGCGCAGATATTCCAGAAGGAATATCACACCTAGAGCGGATTCTCATAGCACTACAAGATGCTGCATTTTCCATCAACGTCGAGAAGTGCAGTTTCTTCAAACGATCTATTGAATACCTCGGAAATATAGTTTCTGATAGACATGTACGACCAAGCCCAATTAAAGTGGAGGCTCTTGTGGAATCTCCAGTACCTAAGACTGTCAAGCAGGTGAGATAGTTCAATGGGCTGGCAGGATACTTCAGGAAATATATTCCTGACTTCTAACGTATAATGCTACCGTTGTACGAACTGACAAAACCAGGTGCAAAATGGACATGGACAGACAATCACGAGAAAGCACGTAACACAATCATCGAATGCTTGACGTCCGCACCAGTACTGACATTATTCCAAGAAGAAGCACCCATACAACTGTATACGGATGCTAGCAGTCTTGGATACGGCGCAGTACTGGTACAGGTGATTGACGGGAGTCAACATGCGGTTGCCTTTATGAGTATAAGGACTACTGAAGCAGAAAGCCGCTACCACTCATATGAGTTGGAAACGTTATCAGTGGTACGTGCTATAATACACTTTCGCCAGTACTTATATGGGCGAAAATTCACGGTGATAACAGACTGCAATGCATTAAAAGCATCCAAGCACAAGAAGGACCTTCAACCGAGGATTCATCGTTGGTGGGCATTCTTGCAAAACTACGACTTTGAGGTAGAGTCTCCAACATGCAGACTTTTTCAGCAGGAACCAAACTGAGTTTGCAGTCAATATTATGACAAGAGACTTGAACTGGCTCAAAATTGAACAGCGACGGTATGATGAACTGCGACCTATAATCGACAACCTTACTAAGGATAACCCAGTAGAGAACTACGTCTTGGAGGATAACGTCTTGAAGAAACAAGTAAACGATCCTGTTTTTGGTCAACAACTTAGCACTGTTATCCCCAAGGCCTTCTAATGGAGTATTATCAACTCTTTTCACACCGCACTGAAACATCCCTGCTGGGATAAAACATTATAAAAGATCAGAGAAACTTATTGGTTCGACAAAGTGAGTTCTACTGTCCGAAGATTTGTAAACAATTGTGTAATATGCCGAACATCCAAAGGAAGATCTGGTACTATACAAGCCCAATTACACCCAATACAAAAACTAGTGGCTGCTTTCCAATGGTGATCACTCGTTTATTGGACTGACAGCGTAACAATGTATTTAGAAAGGTCTATATTGTTCGGCTGCTCGAGCCAGACTGACTTAGCACGCCATGGGGGTGCAACTTAAAACATTATTTTACGAACAAAATGATACGTTTTATGTGCTTCCATCTACATTCCGAAGCGCTAGGCTAGACTTATTTTAATCTCACTAGAGGGCACTTATATATTAAGTCTATGCATACGCAATAATCCACATGCACTACGCAGTTAGTACCGGTCACTGGTTACGCTTAAATTGTTATTAATATTTATTGAACATTATTTATTTTTAGAAAAAGCTATTTTATCTGTGTTTTCAGACAATGAAAAACTGCAAAAATATTATTAGAATACGAAGGTAAATTTCGCCACAACGCACAAGTTTATAATAGCTCAGGTGGATAATCGGGCGGTCCCGAAATCTAAAGACCCCGGATCGCGTCCAGCAGGTTTGTTTATTTTTTCCCTTTTTTTCAAGTTCCTTCTTTTTTAAGCGCCGTCTGTTATGCAAAGCACGACACTAAAGAAAATTAAATTTGGGTCGCGCCTCTATCTCTAGTATATGTACAGTAATCTATGCTAGCACGCTCTGTACGGTAGTTTTTATAGCGTGGCAAGCACGTGTACATGAATTTTAGGTCAAGTATTGAATTATGTGAATCACAAGATTTATTACATTGTAATAATCAAAGAATGAGTAATAAATGGCTTATGAACTATTTTTAACACAATACAATTATTAAACAGAGAAATTAATCATTGTAATTGACGAACTATTGTTCTTGCGCCGATATTAACGTATTGCGTAACAAGTAAAAAATAGATACACTTTTATTTTTTATTTGTTACGCAATAAATAAACTAAATGTATATTTTAAATTTTAATCATGAAGTAAATTTATTACCAAAAAACAATTCAAATGTTATTATTAAAATGATATGAATATACTTTTAGATTCAGGGTGACAAACGAGCACACAATCCACCTGATAGTAAGTGGATGCTGTGGCCTATAGACATATATATTTATCCTCAATTTAGAATCAAAATGCAGATATGTTGTCACCCCTGACGACTGAGATGGAATGCCTCGTTTCCAGGAAAAAGGGTCTCCGGTTCTCTACACTCGCCATACAAAACACAGCAGCATTAAGCTGCTATTTTACGCTGGTATTCTGTGAGAGCGTGGTCCCACCCCGGACGAGCTGACCCATTCGTGCTGCAACCACAATATAGCTCTATCATGGTTCTACCATGTAAAGATTGTAATTATCATGAATTTATATCACATTAAAAATTACGATGGCCCTTGGATGGTTTTTGACTAAAAATAATAATAGTAAATGTGATTTATCTATAACAAGACTTATGCAACGTAGAAAATTCTAACTTATTAATAGTGTAAAATATCAGCCCTATTGAACTGAAAGAAATCGGATATTTTACGTGACGTAGTTACGTTGCTAATGTATTATGAGGTCAGCACGAAAGAGTCTGTTTAACCCCCTCACAGAATTTGATTAAGTGAAATGGAATTGTAATAGTTGTTATGTTTATTTGAAGAATTATTGTCAAAGAATTTCTAAAATAGATTCGGCCTTCAATTAGGTTCGTATAAAAAGAAGAAAAAACGAAAATAGAATCGCTTCAACTTTTTACATATATAATATATACGTATAAAAAATTACTTTAAAATTTTGTTATCATAAAATGGAGAACTATATGGAAATATTTTTTCCAGCTATAGAAATAATTTTTTTTTTGTAATGTAAAAATAACAGCTTTTAACTAAATGCATATGAAAGTATATACGGTATTTATAACAAAATTACAATATTTTTAAAATTTTTGTCTGTCTGTTTATTCCGGGTATTCACCGAAACGGCTAGACCAATTTTGACGGCACTTTTACCGACAGATAGATGATGTTATAAGAAGTAACCTACGCTACTTTTAGTTTAGAAAAATAATTAAGGTTCCGCGCATAAAATAAGGAAAACCCATGAAATCCAATAGCAATAAATTACACGCGGGCGAAGTCGCGGGGAACATGAAGTATAATAAATCGGCCTAAGACTCTAAGAGCTTAATTACTTGGTTAAGTGCTGTGACATTTGAAGATTTTTGAAGCGTCAGTAGCCTAATGGCAGGGCACGGACCGCGAACTCGAAAGGTCGTGGGTTCGAATCCGCCATTCGACTACTGTCGTGAACCACTTCTAACACAAGCGTTTTAAGCTTACCAGAAGTGTTTAAAGGGAATATTAGTAATGTCTAATCGCATTACTAGTATTTTATTTAAAAAAAATAAAAATAAACTTTTGAGGACAGGCGAAAAGAACAACAAGCTTAATTTCATTTGAATTAAATTAAAAAAAAAAACACTTTTGCATCTGCTTTTATGGTTACGCTATAAATAATTAATCAAATCAGTATTTACATTAAACTGAAAACGGTTACACTAGGTCACATTTTTAATTGTTAATTGCAAACATTGCTACTCACTTGTATTATTATATTTTATTTCAAACAGTATTTTTTATAAAAAAATACACAATAAAAATGTTGTAAGTAAATAGACTTAATCAATATGAAAAGCACAACTCAATTAAGATAAATTATACGTCAGTGTCGATATAAACTCCATCGGGGGTTATAAATCGTGTTGGATGTTCCATATAGTTATCCTGTTTACAGATTTTGAAGATAAATGTTTGCACGAAAAGTTAAAATACATTTTTAATAGAGATTTTTTTAGAAATTTGTTTAGTGATTAAAGTGGTCTTTATTTTGAGCCGACTGTAAAAAAGAAGAGGTTTATTATTCAACTAATGTTTTTTTTTGTATGTGTGTTACGCGACATCTTCGTCTATTGTGAACCAATTTTAAATTAATTAAGCTATCGTTCAGGGGCGGTCCCATATAAATATAT